ACTTATCCTAGTCCGATGATCCATATGTGGTGTTAACAGATTTCCTCAATTGTCAGGAGGATTTGAGTGTAATATTCAAGCTCAAATCCCGGTGCACTGGGTTTTATTGTAGGTTAAGTCATTATGAAAATTTCACTGTTGATTTAATTAAGGAAGCATGAACTACGCCTCGGTGCATCTCCATGTCTAGTGTCTTAATCAGTTTGTGAATTATAGTCAAGTGTCTAGTTTCACTGTGCATTCGAGGATTAGGTGAATGAACGAGACTATTACCTAAGGTATGCTCCTAAAATCTTAGGAGGTCACACTGCAGAGAGGTGTGCTCTTAAAATCAAGGAAGTCAGAATTAGGTGGATGGACTCTCACCTACAATTTACACCTAAAGTTTAAGAGGTTTACACTGAGGACTAGGTGGATGGACTCTCACCTAAGGTGTGCACTTAAGCTCTAGAAAGCCTACACTGAGGATTAGGTGGACTAGGGTGTGTGCTTAAGCTCTAGGAAGCCTACACTAAGGACTAGGTAAATGGGCTCTCACCTAGGGTGTGCTCCTAAAACTCTAGGAAACCTACTCTTTAACTTATGTTTAAGATGATTTAAGGTTTCTATATCTTCCAATTATTTAAATCATCAATCCTCATCTTTATGACTTAACCATGTAAAAGGAAAATAAAACAAAAGAAAAGAAATGTCAACCCACTTCCAAAACTAGCAGAGCGAAAAAGAGGGAAAAAGACAAGTGGATCAACCTTAAAAAAAAAACGTTTAAATGACAATCGATCGAAACCCAATACAATGGAAAAAGAAGGGTTCCATAGAACCAATTCTAAACCGCATGTAAATCAACTTTTAAAGGTTACATAGACCTCTTCAAAACAATGCATGAAACAAACCTCAAAATGATACCTTCAATGCCTCCAAAACAATATTCTAGGCAGCCCAAATAGGCCATCAAAAGACCCCAAAAACAGTGCATGGATTGTCTCAAAATCGCCCATCAAAATGCCTCAAAACGGTGTCAAAATAGTGTCAAAACCAGCAGACAAAGGTACTCAACATGGTGATTTATAATGCTCAAGACAGTGCCAAGGTGGTGTAAAAATTGCTGCAACACCGACCCGCAATAAACCCCAAAATAACCTTTAAATTCATCTCAAAACAGTATGCAAACCTCTCCAAATCAATCAATAAAAACACCCATAAACAGTTCCAAAGCATTGTCAAAACGGTGTCAAAACAGTTCTAAAATCAGCCCCTTGAGAGCCACCAAACAAGCCAAGTAGTGCACCCTCGCAGCTATCAATAGGCTGAATCACTAAAAAAAAAATTTACAACAATTCCAGAACATGAGCTATCCCAAAGTTGAACAGGTGCTAGATAAATAAGTTCATGAGAGTTACTTGCTATGTAGGATTTGAATCCCGAATACATTTGTAAGCAGTTAAGTGGCATACATGTGAGATTTCCTGAATTTTCACACCTATACATTAATTTTTACATTTATGCCATGCAAATCTTTCATGTGTATAGAAATATCGTGATTCTATCCTTAAAAACTTCATAAAGCCAGTATAAAGTGATAAATGGGACAACAATGATTCAGTTTATCAGCTGAGAATTCGATACATATGATTAATCATAACATGTCAATGTAAAGTATAAAAAAAAAGGTTAAGAAAGATTTACTAGCATGCCACTCAGATCTTGATGCATAGTCAAATTGCAGATCATGATAAAATCACATGTAAATAAATAGGCCAATATGAGATAACAACAACAAGAATTAACCCTTTTTCTTATACTCGATTTGAATTATGCGAGAGAAGAACAATAAGGTGGCTTCAACTTAGACAGATTGAAATTCTGATTCTCTTGAAATAGAGCACTAGTGCTGGTTTTCATTAGGGAGCTGCAAAGCTTAGCAAAAGTAGAAAAATGCGAGTTTCGTGTCTTCTTACGTTGCAATCCCGTCGTTGCCTCCTAGCAAGCTCCACTCGGATTGCACTGAGGGTTCGGTTGACAGATTGAATGCGAAGCAGGCGAGCGAGAGTTTCTATCGCGCAAGGAAGAAGCGAGGGGTTTTCTGTGCGAGCAGAATTTGTCGAGAGCAAGGAAGATTCCGTCGCAAGCGAGCAGGAAGCCGACGAGGGTGAGCGAGAGTGAGGCGAAGTTTTCGGTACAGAGGAGGCGAGGGTTTGGAGCGGAAGCCTCTGTCGAGCGGTGGTCTCGATGCAGAGGAGAGGAGAGCCGAATGGGAGAGGCGAAGCTTCGGTGCGGAGGGGAGTTCGCAAGAGGGGAGACAAAGCAGGTGCTTCTGCGTGAGGAAGAAGATCGTTATTCGCGAAGCTGTAGAGGTAGGCGGTCGAGGAAGAATGGGACGAATCGCCAGCCTCAGTGCAGAGGTCGGATCGGTCAAAGGTTTCGGTTGGGATTTCGGTGGAGGCGATCGGCTAGGCTGCGATCGAGATAGGGAGAGGGAGCTGGGTTCGGTCACAAGGGGAGGGAGGCTAACGGGTCTCGAGCGGGCGAGACGAAGCGGGTGAATGCGATGCTTCTCTGTGAAGACGAATCGAGAGAAAGGGATAGCCACGAGCTTCAGTAGTAAAGGGGAGATTCAAATAGAGATTCGTCGGTGGGGAGGAGAAGAAGCACGGCCAGCCGGGGGGAAGGAGCTCGAGCGTGAGAGTGAGGAGTTTTCGGTGCAGAGCGGAAGAAGAGAGGAGCCAGACAGGAGAGACCATGCCAGGAAGGAGCTAAGCGGGATTGTATAGCCGAGGTGAACGTTAAGCGAGATTAGGCGGGGAATTAATTTGTTTCCATTCACGTAGCTGGGTTCAAATGGAAAATTTTAACTCCCAATTAAGATAAAATTAAATGACGAATTTGAAATTCAAAAATTTAAAATTCAAAATGGTTTAACATTTGTTCAGCCCGAGTTCAGCCCAAATTGAACCTGAGTTGAACCTGGGTTGAGTCCGGGCCCGCGCCCCGCTATCGTGCATCGATTTTCGTGTTAGTCGCTCGCGCGCGAAACCATAGCAACATGGGTGTCCTTCCTAGCTAAAGTCGACGTCCTGGTAGCGTCGGCGCAGTCCATTTCGTCATCTGGGGTCGTTTGGACGAGTTCGCTGACGGGCGAGTCGATTCAAGTTAAAAATCGTGTGTGGTGCACTAAGTGCATGAATTGCGGCGTTCACGAGTAATTGAGTCACAAAGGGTTCACCTAAGGCTGTTTGATCCTATAGGAACTCATTTTCGGGCCCTCTACGTGTTGGTCCTTAGCCCTTGCAACTAAAAGTTGAGTGCTTGGAACCACTCATGCGAGTTCTTCACAAAAATGAGTCAAGAAGTGGCTTGAAGTTCTAC